AAATTAGTACTAACTCCACTACCTGGTATTCTGAAATGACGCCACTTGTCTTTCATGTTAATTCCAGCTCTGGAAATGAAATTTTGGATGAAGTAGGAGAAATTTAACTGTAACTGTACATTTAACTTTCAGTCTGTTAACTGGAGGGCCCTGTTGACTGGCACTCTCACCAAGTCTGATGAGGGTTGCTAGTCACCATGTATCCATTCAGCAAATATTTATTGAGTGCCTGCCTTGTGCCAGACGCTATTATTCCAAGAGCTGAGGGTACAGCACCGAATAGAATAGACGGTAGTTTCTGTCTCCCAGACCTGATGTTCTAGCGGAGGTAGATAGACAGTAAGTAAAATTCGTAGCACGTGGATGTGGTGCGTGGCGCGGGCAGGGGCTGGAGGTGGATGCTGGAAGGGAGTGGGGATAGTTTTAACTAGGGTGACTGGGGAAAGCTCTCAGTGAGCAATCAGCTAACATGTGAGAGAATGTTCTTGGCAGAGGGAGCAGCAAGTACAAATGTCCTGAGGCTGGCCAGTGCCTGACATATTGAAGGATTAGGGAGGCCAGTGCCATTGGATCAGAATCAGCCCAGGAAAAAGCAGCAGGAGATGAAATCAAAGAGGAGAGGGGAGGCCAGAGAGTGCAGAGCCTTAGGGATCACTTTATATGTTTTGGCTTTAATTTGGTGTTTCAGGAGCCATTGGGTGGATCTGAGCCAAAAAGTGACATCAGATTTACATTTCATGATTACAGCGATTGCTGTGCAGAGTAGGCTAAAGTGAGCAAGAGACTGAGAACTGAGCAGTGTATTTAGTGTTGAGGACATTGTTGAACTTGAAAGTCAGTTTTGCTGGGTTGATGGGGGCAAAAGTCTGAGTAAATTCAAGAGCAGATGGGAGAAGGCATTGATGTTGCGAGAGACCAGCCAGTGTTAAAGCATCTTTGGAATGAACGCAGCCCTGTTTTATTCTCTGTTGGACTCAAGCACTGAATGCATTTTATTTTAATTCTTTAAAATCTGTCGCCAACTTTTGGAATAGATGACGACTGTTTGGTAACTAGATATTTGATGCGCTGGGACAGGTTCCGCCCTCCCTGAGCTGGGTAACTACTCTCTAGATGATTCAGCCTCTTATGACAAAGCCATTCATTCACTGAATGACCATATACTAGTGGCTTCTATAGAGAAGAGTTATTCCACAGAAACTCTCTGTCTCTACTCCATTTTTTTCCACTATTTTTTTTTTTTTTTGGAAAATGAAAACTTGGAAATGAGAGCAAATAGCTCTCTACCTGGGTTCTGTGTGATTCCAGGGTTTGCCCATTTAGGTAAAAAAGATTTGTTATGGACAGGTCTGAAACCAACAAGGAAGAATGCCTTGTTGCTGATGATTTTCCTTCTTATATTGTAAGACTTTCCTGATATTCTGAACGCCGTGACGTCATGTATAAGCAATGTCTGTTACAGCCCGTAGATGGAAGCAGGAAAATTGGTACCAAAAGAGATAAGCCAGTCGACTTTAAATATGTCATTAAATGTTTATTGAGCACTTAACACTTGTAATATCTCTACCAGGCGCAGTGAACCAGATAGGGTCCCTGTGTCACTGGCACCTTCCACTGAGTGGCGAACATAGACAAGTCCACAGGACTTAAGCTCCAGGGCATCCTAGGGGTGCAGAGGAGTAATTAACTCAGATTTGAATGGGCACAGCATGGAGGGCTTCTTGGAGGAAGCCATATCCCAATCCGGGCCTGTAGGATGAGCAGGGGGTAGCCAGTCCTAGAGAAGGGGGAAGACACTTGGCAGGAAGCTGGGAGGCAAGAGAGATGTGGCATTTACTTGCAGCTGAAAGAACTTAATTGTGCTGGATCTGTCGTGAGGTGGAGAGAGGTGAGCCTGGAGGGATGGTGGCAGGGAAGGGGCTACAACACCAGGGCCCTGTTTATGCCTTTGAGCAGGTGGAAATCAATGGAGGACTTTGTGTCTTCGGGTGGTCTTCCTTTGTGGAGGAAGTGTGTGTGTGTGTGTGTGTGTGTGTGTGTGTATACATATGTAATACATATATATTGATGCATACATATAACTATACATATGTGCGTATGTATTTTTTTCAGGCTTCTAAATGTTAAATTTGATTCAGGATTCCATTAGGGAGGCACTTGCCTCAGTGTTATGGAACATAGCATCATACTGGATTTTAGATTGGGAGTGAACTGGTCCCTCTACTGTAGGGAAGTCCCTGAATCTCAAGGAGAAATAACAGGTAAGGGCTCCGTGCAAAAATTAACCTGACTTCCTGGGTATGTATTTCCTTTGATCTGTGAGATGTGAAATAGATCGGACTTTTATAGCCTAAGGAAACATAAAAACTCTTAGTTAAAAAAAAGCAGGAACTTGGGGAGGGTAATAGCTCAGTGGTCCAGGGCATGCTTAGCATGCAGGAGGTCCTGGATTCAAGCCCCAGTACCTTCATTAAATTTTTTTTTTTTAAAGGAACTGTTTAAACATTGACTTGAGTTAAAAAAGAAACAGGAGTTTGGACTGCCTGGCAGTGGGAGAGAAAAGGGGTTAGGACTGGGGAGGGAGGCGGGAGCGCAGAGGAAGTGAGTGCTGCGGGGGTGTGGCCTGGAGGTCACACCTTGAGCGGTGGGTGTTCAGTGTGTTATCATTGTAATCAGCTGCCCGCGGCTGATGAATGATTCATGGTCGTTTCTAGCTCAGCAGATAATGTCGTCTTTATACGTTCAGTCTTCGCTGTAGCGGGCGAGCCCGAGCAATAGCAGAGCTTTTGTAGGACTTCACTGCCATCCGAGGGTTAGGAAGTCTCCCCACCCCCGCAGCCCCAGGAGGATGTAAGAAGCACTGTCCCCTACTCCCATTTCCACTTTTAGCTTGGCGCAGTTTATACCTAAAAAAATCTTAAGAATACGTGCTATGGACAATTCAGACTCGGGCCCAGATGACTCACACCGGCTCTACCAGATCCAGAAGCAGCCGCATGGGGATTCATTCCTGAGGTCCTGAACTCTGGAGGAACCCGCGGATTAGACTTTAATGAGGCTTGATTTCGGTAGGACGAAAGAACACAAGTGAGGACCCACCTCTGCGGGGTGTGGCTGCTGTGTCTCTGGCTCCGCATTGTTTCCCAGATTGTTGTGGGTGGTGGACGTCGCCGCAGCCTTCCCAGGGCGAAACGTATTCTCGGTTCTGGGAAGGCTTCCATCTTCCACAGTCCCCCGTTGTAACTCCGTGGAATGTAGTTTAAAAAAATAATTTCACAAGGTAAAATTGCAGTTTTTAATAGTTACCATTTTAGAAAAACAGCCAGTGTTTCTGATTCTGTCTCCTCCCCTGCCCCCATGATTTCTGAGTGTGCGATCCCTTAGAGGACCCTTAGGGCTGTTACTTTAAAACATTTAGCGTCTTTCTCTCTATATTTTAGCAATCCGGAATTCTGTCTTGTAACTTCTTTTTACATCACTGAAGGTGTTTCTGTTTCTCCTTCATGTTTTTTTTTTAAAGCCCTGGAATGGGTATTTGCAAAAGTATTTTATTAAGGTAGCCTATATATTGATACCTTTTTCGTATTTTGTATTTTTAAAATTAACTTTGAGATAATACGTGCTTCAGCCCTGCCATAGAAATTCCATCTCCTAAAATCATGTTCTGGTGAATTAAGGAGAAAAGGAACATTTTCTAAGGCTAACTAATAACAAAAGAAAGGTATAAATGCCTAGAAGCCGCCAAACGAATTCAGAGAGAAATCTGAGGATCTAGGAAAAAGCTGTCTTATTAAATGCAATTGTGGTAGACTTCCTGGAAGTGATAAATGTAGTGAAATCAATCTTTTCTAATGACTTAATTGTCATCAGAAGATCTGAAAACAATTTTGTGGGTTAAGGTAGGTAGTCATCATCCTTGGTGATAACTATAATAACTATCATGTTATAAAAACACTATAAGACTATTTTTGTTATAAAAGCAGACTTCATACTGTAGATCTTATTGTTAATAATTGTTGGCTTTTGTTTGCTTTTTACAAATCCACGGTTATAATGAAAGTGACATTGTTGCATTGAGATGCAAGGAATAGAGTTGTTTTGTTTGTTTGTTTTTTCCATGCAGTTAACATTCTTTTTTTCTTTAAAAAAATCATTTTCAGTGATTTCAGTCCAGCCAAGTGACAGGATTCACATTTGCACTTGAGGTGGTCAGGAACGGTGTCTCCTCAAATTAGGGCCTTTTGTTGAACACTTGATCGGAAGGAAGGTAAAACCTGAAGGTCTCTCTAACAAAGGTGGAATCAGTTTTTAAAAATCATGGCTCTCTCAAAGGAATGTGTCTACTTTGGATGAAGACAGGGGCACATGCCTGTACTTAATTGCCTGCAATAGAAGAATAATTATTTTACTCTTAAGGATTTTTTCCTGGAGAGAAAATGTATTCATGTATCCATTTATAGTCTCTCTCTGTCTCTCTTTTCTGTCTTTTATGGTTATATAAATGTGTGTGTTCCTGCTTGGGCCATTCCTCATTCTAAAAACATTTGTGGAAGTCCACAGTGCTTAAGACGGGAGCTGGCTGCTTAAGTTTGGATCCGTTCCGATCACTTACTAGGTGGGTGATGTTGGCCAATTTCTATGCATTATTAGTCAACGAGCTTATTTTTAAATTTGGGGTCATGCTGTCACTAAACTTTCCAGGGTTTGTGGTGAGGATTAAGTGAGATAATGCAGGTGGAGTATTTACCACAATAAATGATAAACTCTCTGGCCTACAGAAAATGCTTGATACAACTCCAGCTGTTGTTTTGTTGCATAGGGAGATCCTGGGGAAAATTTTTTTCACATTTCCAACAGAATAGTTTCAAATGAAACACATCCTCTCCCTTTTACAAGTAGTAAATTACGACTCAGGGAGAAGCGTGGTAAAGAGAAAGACTGGGTCATGTTCCCTTTGGGGAGTGTGTCGACCTAAAATCTCATTGAGAAGAGGAGATGCCAGTTACACCTCTTAAATTCAAGATACGATTTCTTAAATCCCTCTGCCTGGTTATTCCACTAATGCAGTGCTCTGAGGCTTGACAGCTCCTAGTAGCGATCTGTAGAATACGGTCCCCAAGAGTCGGAGGGAAGGCTGTCACCCAAGTCAGGCCCTTCGAGTGTGTATTTCCTGCTTTATCACAATTAATGTCCACGATTTATTACATTTCCTGCTTCGCTGTGGCTTTTGATAACTGGTGGGTGTGACAGTTAATCCTTGGGTGTGTCCCTGGTGTAGTAAGTATTCCATTGAGTAATAGTCTTCTGTCATCATTTGGTCCATTAGCCCCACATGGAAGGCGCCCCGTCTCGCCAAACCCAATGAAGGAAACCAGCCCTGCTTCTTCTTGGGAGCCAAGGAGTGATTTCGTAAGATCTGCTCCTGTAAGCACTGTGGGAATAGCTGATCAGAATGCTGGTTGCTTCTGTCCTTTAGTCACCAGAGTTGATTCCCTCGGTTTCAAAGCCACAGAAGGTTGCAAAGGTCCCCAAGGGCTTTTAGGGTTACAGGTGCAAAGGGAAAAAGAATGGCCCCCTCAGAAAGGCACCTGTGCAGGGAGGCACCTGTGCAGGGAGGCACCTGGCGGGAGGCGGGTCGTGCCGTTGGTGCTAAGAGCAGACCTGGGCTTCTGAGCTAGACTCATCCCTAAAGTTTGTTCGGGAGGCAAAGGGGGTCAAAGAAGAAGCTTCAGGGTGCAGAGGATAGCTCAGAGGTAGAGTGAGTGCTCACTCAGTGTGCGCAAGGTCCTGGGTTCAATCCCCAGTGCTTCTGTTAAGAGGAAAAAAAGAGTTAAAAAAGAAAAAGGAAAAGCTTAAGCATTTACATTTGCATGTCTATAGATGGAGTACTTTCTGTAAGACATCTTTGAGCTGAGGAAATAAGTGTTTTTGTATTTTAGTCCAAATGTACCTGCTTCTGGAACAGGATTTCAGCAGTGAGTACTGTAGACAAGTTGTCTTAAAACTGAATAAATCTGTATTAGCCAGAGAAGGCCCTTCCCCCTTGAGAAACTGGCACGTAATTTCTCCTAGATCAGTTTCCAACTTAATATATTTGCCTAATTGTTCTATGTTTATTTTAAAAAATTTTGTCTCCTCACACAGGGCGATTGTATACATGTATTTTAAACTGAAGTACAGTTAATTTAAAATGTTGTGTTAGTTTGTGGTGTACAGGATAGTGATTCAATTATACATATATCATTCTTTTTCATTGTAAGTTATTACAAGCTTTTGAATATAGTCCTCTGTGCTATACAGTAGGACCTTGCTGTTTGTCTGCTTTATATATAGTGGTGTGTATCTGTTAACCTCAAGTTCCTAGTTTATCCCTTCCCACCCTTTCCCCTTTGGTAAGCATAAGTTTGTTTTCTATGTCTGTGAGTCTCTTTTGGTTTTGTAAATAAGTTCATTTTGTCATTTTTTTTTTAGTCTCCACATATAAGTGGTATCATGATATTTGTCTTTCTCTGACTGACTGACTTCACTTAGTATGATCATCTGTAGGACTATCCATGTTGCTGCAAATGGCATTCTTTCATTCTTTTTTAAGGCTGAGTAGTATTCCAATATATATGCATACTATTTTATGTTTATTATTACTTTAAAAATATATTTGTAGGCTATCTGTACCATTCCCTCCTCCCTCCCCCATTACAGCTTCAGAACTCAGTGTGGAGAGATGTGGTCCAATATTAATGAATTAAGGGGGCAAAGGTATAACTCAGTGGTAGAGCAGATGCTTAGCATGCCTGAGATCCCGGGTTCAGTCTCCAGTACCTCCATTAAAAAAATGAATAAACCTAATTACCTCCCCCCCAAAAAATGGTAAAAATAAATAAAAATTAAAAAATGAAACAGTTGGGCATTATTAATGAATTAACACATAGCATATTTTAGATGCTATCAATTTTTGAACTGAATTTAAAAGCTGAAAAAAATCCCACAAAGAGAGAGTTAAAATCTGTGCTAATTGGCAGCACTGTCTTCGGGGGAACTGCACTTTTGCTCTCTAAGAAAGCAGGGGTGATGACTCACGCTGAATATCCCTCGTCCAGAGGCCCGAAGCAGTCAGGCCAGGAGCTGCCACCAGGCTGGGTGGCTACTTTACCATCTGTTTACAAACCTTTAAAGACCCGGGGTTCACTGTCAGTGTCTTTTGCTGCTTAAAATGGCAACAGAGGACTTCGCTGCAATTAAAAAATATTAGCAATTTATTTTTATTGTCAGATTTTAAATTCATTTTTTGCAGGGCAAGGTGTTGGGGAAAATCATATTAGGTTTGAGATCACGGAGACCAGGAGGAGCCCGCTAGTGGAGGGCTGTGTGTGTTTGGCAGTGCTAAGATGCTAATCCTGTTTTGCCTCATGAACTAGAAGACGGCCTGTGTATTAGGAAAACTGGGGTCCTTCTTGGCTTCTACTGGGAATGTAAAGGGGAGGGCATTGTTCCTGGGGCTGTGGTTCCAGCACCCTTATTTCTGTGTTTTTCCCCCTAACTATATACCCTTCAGGATTGGTGATGACCATAGGTCCTACAGTCCAAACACGTGTTCTTTTGAGTGAGTAAATTGTTTCATTTTAAAGTTAAAGGAACTGGGGCGCAGAGAGTTACAGGACTAAGATGTAGTGGCAGGGCCTAGCCTGGAATGGAATTCTCCAGGCTCCCGGTTCTGAATGTTTCTGATTATACTATTTTCCCAGCTTTACCCTAATTGCCCTCTACTCCCAAATCCTATAAAATTTATGGCTGTGTAGGTCCCACCCACCAGCAGTAGTGTGGAGGGAGCCTCCCGTCCCCATCTGGACTGCGGTCCTGGGCCGTGAGCCTCTGCTGACCATCTGTGATGCAGACTCCGTGTCAGCTCCCGGGGGTCCAGCAGTGAGGAGCCTCTGTCTAGCAGGGAGGTGGCAACACTGATTTTTATACAATATGGTGCGGTGCACTCAGCAACAGACATGCTTACAGGTCTAGGAGCCATTTAGAGGAGCACAGGGTACAGTGTGTGTGGGGGTTGGTCGTGTGGGTATAGTTTAGGGGACAGTTGTTTGCAGATAGTTTTAAAGGATAAAGGGGAGTTTTCCAGCCAGATGGAGGTTGAGGGTAGAGCCTTCCAGGTGAAGAGATTTGGGAAACTAAAACCAGTCCATTGGCAGTGCTGGAGGGTGACCTTGGTGGTAGGACCACGGCCACCTGCAGACACATGTCGGTTGTGCTTCCATTGTTACCTCCTGTGGCCTGTTTCAGAATGGAAAGAGGTGTTGAAACTTCATCAGTGATCCCTGTTTTCTTTTGGGCTGAAGGACATTAAATGTCTTTGAGTAGGACGGCTGGTGTGACATGGAGAGGTCGTGATGGGTATGGACTGTCAGGTGCTTGGAGGCTCCGTGGCTTGGGGATGTGATCAGGGAAGAAGGTTCAGGAATAGTGCTATGCTTTGGATTCAGAAATATAAAGGCAGCAGGTTCTGTCTGGAGCCTTCGTGCCCTTCCTCCAGGATGCCGCTGGGGTGAAGGTGTGGATGCAGGTTTACACGTTCAGCCTCTGGAACCAGACAGAACTGCCTTTCAGTTTTCACGGCCTTGGAGGAAACAGATAACGGATGATAGGAAACAGCTGCTCTTAATGTGGCAGCCAGAAATGCAGCCGATGGAGCAACGCGGTAATCACGAGCATATTAATGGAAAGTCCTCTCTGATTAAACACTGGGAGCAGTGGAATGTGGTTTGTTTTCCTATATTTACCCCTCCCCCCATTGCCTCTCTGTTGCCTGCAGCTTTTATTTTTATTTGTTCAGGAACATAGAAATACTTTCTTGTAAAAAAAAAAAAAGAAATTTAAACAATATTACTCCAGAGAATTTAAAAAATATTTCATTTTCTCCTTCCTGGCGAAACTCTTCTCCTTTTTCCAAGCTGGCTGTGACTATCTTCCAGAACCCTTCCTAGACATTTGCATAAATGTTTATACAGATTCGTGTATAATTATTTTCGTTTGTATAAATGGAGTCGCATGTAGTTTGAATCTGATCTGTAGTTCTTTGTACATTTCATCCCGTCTTAAAGGTCTTTCCACATCACCCTAATTAGAGAAACCTCAGCCAGTTTAGAAGTAATTATTTATACAATCAAACTTCATTAGCTTCATCAGTCATTTAGAAATGGCTGGATGGAAACCTGGTGCCTCTTAGGAACAAGAGGGCGGCAAGGCTCACCCACATCGGTGCCGAACAAGGATTCAGGATGTTTTATGGCAGACTCTCTGGCACCTGGCAAAATATCTTGGGTCAGCCTGACAAGGGAGACTGATTTCTTGCTATGAGAGTTTATTACTGTGACACCAGTTCTGCTTGAAGCTCACAATTAGTGTTTTCTTGCCAGAATCGTATTAAAGTGAGGGGTGGCCTGATGTGCAGTGTTTGAGATCTCCTACTAAGACATTGGGAGCATGTGGGACTTGGATCTTTCCTCAAAGCTTGCTTCGTAATTTTGCAAAGCCTGTTTAAGAGAAGTTGATTCAAAGGACAAGTGGACTTTTAACCCCGAGAAGTGGGACCCAGAACTGATGAGGGGAACCCTTTGGAAGGGGAAATGGGACAGGTAATTGTTTTGAAACATTTGTGGGCTGCTGACATCATGGGAGGCATTCGATAACATCTTGCTGAAATTGTACCTTTGAGCTTGCCAAACCCCAGCAGACCACGGGCATCTGCGGCTGCTCCTCAAGTGCGATAGCACTTGTCCCAGGAGCAGCCATTGTTGTTGGAATGCCGTCATTATGACCTCAGTCCACGTTGTTTAGACAAAGGGGGAAGATGCCTTATTGGCTTGACAATTTGCCAGCCACCTGCTGTCATTCTTTTTCTTCAGCGCTTTGAAAGTGACCAGAACCTAGTCATCAGGCCTCTTTTTAAAATAACAACACAGGCACGCATAAACTCTCCAAATCCCAAGAGACGATGTAATTTTAAAGGTCACATGTCAATGTGTGCCTGTTTTCCTCATCTCTTCTCTTGAAGGCTGCGGGTCTCTTAGATTTCACATGGCCAGTGGCTGCCTTAAAGAGGGAAATTCTAGAAGAGAGAGGAACTTTCATGGTAAAGTTATTTAGATTTTTACTGGAACTAGCTGTTATCAAATAAGCATTAGAATGACCTTCAAATTTCTTACGAGGTGGGGCCACATCCTGGGCTTTATAAGGAAATCACCATCTCTAAATATAATGGCCCAGGCACAGTTAGCTATTTTAATCTGGCTTTCAAGGAAATCAGGGTTTATGGGATATCAAGAGATGCAGAACACAGTATTTCTTCTGTTGAATGTGAACTTGCTCCTTACAGTTCAGTGGAGTTGTCTGGACAACACACAATAGAGACTTGCTCACTCATTTGGGTTTTCCATCCACTGCCTTCCTTCACTTAACTGAGCATCAGCCAGTTCCAGCACATTGAGGACCAGTCATGGGGACAGCTCTGTCTCCCTACGTCCATCCCCCTCTTGAGACCCCCGCACACTGGAGGACATTACTTGCTGTGGGAGATGGCAAATACAGGAAGGAAACTTCACATCCTGTCACCTGCTGTCAGGAGGAGGCAGAGCCAGCCTGGGGCAGAGTGGAAAACCCTGCATGGAATTCTCACTCCAGTGCTTCTTGGGGGTGTAACGGTGCACACCTAGCCCTTCAGAGCTGGTTTCCTCATCTGCAAAATTGGGACGATAATCATACATCGTATGCTTCCTCTGAGGGTTGATCAGACACTGGGAGGGAGTACCTAGCTCGTGTGATGGGACACAGAAGGGCTCAGGAAATAGTACTTGCAATTTCTTTCTCTTTTTCTCTCATATTCCCCTGTCCTGAAATGAGATGGCCCCCATCCTAGACATTCTAATGCTTGGTTCTCAATACTCTTCACCAGGGGTAATCAACAAAGAGAAAGTTGACCTCTCCAGAAATTACTCTTCTGGAGTTTCAGCCATTCTGCAGTCGGCTCGCCTCCCCCCCACCTCCCCCTCCTACAAGAGCAGTGCAGTGAACCCCAGATCTGTCCAAGGGCAGAACTAATTTTCACCACAGTGTGAAGGAGTCTGGGGGCCGGGGAAACCAACCGTATACAGTTACATTGAGTTGCAAGTACGAAATCTCAGATGACTTTGGCACAAGTTTTCCACTTGAAAGTCTCTTCCAGGTGCTTCCTCTGGGACAAAAACCAGTTAGCCTTCCATGGAAAAGGGACAGTTTATTCTTAAAAAAGCCACTTTGAACTACGTAAACACAAACGCTTCACCATAGGGAGGGCCACTGTCGTAGTTTTGGGGTGCACATCCCCGTATTCGTGTTTAGCAGGGGGCTCGATTTGTCTGGTGATCACTGTCAGCCCTGGTTTGACTCATGCATTCCTCACCACTGCAGTAAGATCTGTGTTTATGTGAAATATGGGAACAATTCCTCCCTGCCCCCCACCCTCCACCTTCTTTTGTGCTTGAGTTGGGATGGAGCCGCTGAGTTGTTCTCCTTTGTTATTTTTAAAGGGGCTTCGGTTTTAGAACTCCAGTCTTGGCTGGAGGAGGACAGCTGGCAGTGTGGCTGAGGCTGGTCCTCAAGAGATCTAGTTGACATTTCTGCAGCTAAAACCTGACCCTGAGTCCAGCATCCTGACACAGACACAGGAGGCTCCCCTGTCTAAAACTCTGATTTGCCCAATGTTGAAAACAAAATGGAAACTAATGTAGCGGCAGAGGAATTGGTACTGAAGGCAGAATTTTTGACCCTAAGTTTGTCTTTTTCATCAAGACCTCTATGTCTTGTGTCCTGGTCTCTTTCATATTATTATTAATTATTTTCTTTTTCTTCAACTGCTTGGGTGCCGTGAGGATGGGGAAGGTCTAGGCTGAGTTGTTAAAGGTCCAGAGTTTAGTTGTACAAAGAAAAAAACCACAAAAAGAGTGTGTGCTCCTCCTCATTTAAAAAAAATTTATCCTCCTAGAAAAGAAAGTTTTGTGAGAAGGCTGCCAGGCTGTAAAAGAGAGGGTCCAACGCCACATTCTCACTGCCTCGTTAGCAATCCTTGTAAAGTGTCTTGGCAGATAGGGGCTCTTCCTTCACAGTGTAATGTTTTTCCAACAGCAGAGTTATAGCTGCTTCGTGTGCCATGACACATGGCTAGGTGTCAAGATAATTTTATAGGGAAAAATCCAAAAAGACATTTAAAATGTGCAGCTTTCAGGAAAAAAAAAGTCAATTTTACAAAGAGAGTTTTGAATCAAAGGGCATTCACGGGTCTCTGCTCTCTCTGTGGGCGGGTCTTTTCAGGGATGGGGGTGTAAAGAGAAGACATCCATTTATTAACTGAGCCCCTGAGGTATGACTGTCTCGAAGGACCAGGCGCTGGGGATACAGGGATGAATGTCACACTCTGGCCTTCAAGGAGCTCCCTTTTACTCAGGGGTCCAGAGACTTGAGTAAAAATGCATGGTCCAGGTGGCAGAAAGGAGCAGTGATGAGCTTTGCTGGGGTGGGAGGTGGCGTATGGATGGTGTACAGAGATGGCCTCATTGAGAAAGAGAAGTTAAGGTGACTCTCGGAGGATCGGGAAGAATTTGCTAGGTCAGATTGGAGTGTGGGAGGCATTGCTGGCAGGAGAAGAACAAATGCCAAGGCTTGAGCTGTGTTAGGAGAAGGAATCCCAGCTCAGGGAGGCTGGAGTTGCCGGATGCAAGAGGGAGAAGGCGGCTTGGCCAGGAAGCCCGGGGCTGAGCAGGAGGCCTTCCCGTGGCAGGAGGTCGCGCTGCTGTGGTCAGGACTTTGCTCCCCTCCCGTGAGAGGCTTGCTCTGGCTAGTAGCATTCTTAGTTCCTTTCCCTGCTTCAGCCTTCTTCCCAGCATCTACACCTGACCCGTTACAGGCTGGTGTGTCTGTTGCCTGTGTCCCGATGTTTGGATGGAAACCCCATGAGAGCAGGGACTTTGTTCTGAATGGATGGCCGTATCCCCAGTGCCTGGCATTGCGTCATGTTATCAAGTTTGGACTTTGTCCTCTGCATGATGGAAGACCATTATAGGGGCCAAATGGAGAGGGGTGGGTTACATGAGTATATCTGGGTGTTAGGAGGAGCAGTGTGAATGGCACGTGTAGCTGCTGACAGGTCTCTAGGAAGGGAGCTCCTTGGAGAATGCGGAGAGCAAAGAAGGGACCATCCGGCGATCCTGCCCCTCAGATGGGCCTCAGATGGGCCCAAACTTTGCTGACCTGGCTCATTATCAGGAACGAGTGTCAGTCTCATTCTCTGGCGGATGTTTTGAAACTTTACTGAAAATTACAGAAAAGCTCCGAGAATTCGTTCCCCCTACTCTACAAAGCTGCCCAGGCATTCATTCCAGCAGACATCAGGATGTCGTAAGGTGATTATCATTTTCTTCATTTCTTGATAGTTCAGTGATAGAAAGCTTTGAGAAATCTTGATGAATTATCTTTCTTGGAATGCACTGAACGCTTCCATAGAAAACTGGGTTCTTTCTGTAAAAATAGGTTTTAGTAAGTTCAAGACAGCTGACCTCAGAGCTATTTGTGTCTTGCAGTTAGGTTGTCGGCAAAGTTATCAAAAAAGATAAGAAAGTGGACATTTTGCAGTTCTTCTGAGAGCACTGGTAGGACGTACCATCCCACGGACGGGGCTTGGTGAGGGATGAACGGCTCCCCATACGTAGCTTTTCCTGGCAACTGAGCTTCATCGCTTTAAAAGCTGGATAGTTTTTAATTTTTCTCTTCAATTTTGGATGGAAATCTTTCTAAAATTATCGACTCTCTTGTGCTCCTGAACAGAGTGCATTCAACATTCCTTTCTTGGGAAAGAATTTTGCACAATTACCGAAGCATGTGATTACTGTAATGATAACGTATTGATGCTTGTGGCTGCCTTCCAAGCGACCCCAGAAGGCCGGGGTTTCAAAGTCCCTGGTCTGGGTTTCTAGGTAGCGGATGCTTCTAGCACCATACGCATGTGTGCCTTCCTCATTTACTCAACTTGTCTCCTTGAAGGCCGGGAAACAAGTCAGCTTCCTTGCTTTTTGAAATGAGGCTCTGTCTCAAAAGGCCTGTGTAAGTCAAGTGAATGTATTTTACTGCAGAGGCTTTATCATATCTTTCATATTTGAAAGAAGGAGGACTCATTCTATATTTTTCATGTCTTGCTAACATTAAACAATCCATATCTGAAAAAACCCGATAATAATATCATCACGTCTACTGTCAATACTACTGGGTTTGCAGAGTGGAAAAAAAAAATCCCTAATGGTCGGGTGGGTATAGCTTAGTGGTAGGGCATATGCTTAGCATGCACAAGGTCCTGGGTTCAATCCCCAGGACCTCCTCTAAAAATAAATAAATAAGTAAGCCTAATTACCTCACCCCTCCCCCCACCAAAAAAAAGTGAAGGAAAAAAGGCATTAAAAATAATAATAAATAAAATTATTCAAAAGAAATCTTCAAGCCTCTTATAGTGTTTGTCCAGAGGCCTCCTGGCTTCCCTTTGGGTCCAGGGTGTGCAGGGCGAGGTCACTGGAGGTGTTTCCATACTAAAGGCTGTTTGTCACCCTCTTTGACAGCAACGATTATTACCGGGCGTCTACCATGTTTATGTAAGGCACCAGGAACAACACGGAAAGTGCCTTCTTCCTAGAAATGTAAATCCTAGTTTGGAAGAGGAAATAGTGGAGGAGAAACAGCGACAGAACTTGGACTTTGTCAGAGGGTGCACACTTTGAGATGCGCCCGTGCCTGAATGAGAGTCCTCTGTCCAGAAGGTTGACCTCTGGCCGAGAGGACAGCTTCCAGGACAAGGGCGATGCAGCTGAGGGGGAGGAAGAGCCCCAGGGAAGGTGGAGTCTGCAGCCGAATCAGCCCTGTCCATCAGGGTTGCACGTGGTGGCCAGATCAGCATAACTCGGTGAAAGCTTGGCTGTGCACGTCCTGTGGAGGGGGGCGGGGAGGAGGGTCAGGAAAACGGCGTGGAGTGGGTGGATTCTTGCTGGATCTTGATTCATGAGTGCAGTTGCCAAATCACAGGAGGGGAGGAAGATTGGCCCAGACAACAGAGCCTAGGATGGGGGGGTCGGTGTGGGTGTGTGTGCAGAAGGGCCAGGTGTGTGTGACACCTCCGTTCTGCTCTCCTCCCACGAAGGCGGCTCCTCTCTCTGAGCCTCCCAATGGGGAGACAGTGGGCTCTGGAGTTGGATGAACTGGTCTCAAGACCAGCTCTACCGCTTTCCATCTGTGTCATCGTCGGCACTTTTCTTAGTCCTTCTAACATCCATTTCCTCATAAAAGGAAGGGACATAGTAAGACTGATCTGTGGACGCTTCAGCAGAACAAATGAGACTTCCGCTGGACCAGGTACACACACAGTATGTGCTCAGGAACCGGTCATTTCCTTGGGCCAGCCCTTCCTCGGGACCCCGGGCTGGTCTCCCACTGCCTGCGGGCTCTGCCCACTTGCTGACTCACGTGTTGTAGGCACAGTCCACTCAGCAGGTGCTGGAGGAAAGGCGTTACCTCGTCTTCTTCCTCCACGTCTCCTCTGCCTTTTCAGGTCTTTCCTGTTGGCCCTTCCCTGTTGCCAGTTTCTACCTGGTTAGGGTTTGAACTCTTAACGGTCACCCTAGCTCAAACCCTTAGTGTCATCTTTGATTCATTTTTGCCACTCATATGACATTTCTAGTCCGTCGTCGGATCCTGTCCATTTCTTTCTCCTGTGATGCCATCGCCTCCATCTGTGCTGGGCTCACTCCCATCACTTCACCAGCAGATTGCTCAAAAGCTGCTGGAGGGAGTGTCTGACTTTGGTCAGCCCCGTCCATCTGCACATTCTTCAAATACTTCTGGACTCCTCTTTACTTCCACAGTCCTTTGATTTGGCCATACCTTTTCCAGCGCAACTTGCTTTTCGTTAGTTTGTAGAGTGATAATGGCTAACATTTATTTATGCTTATTGGGTGCCAGGTGTGTGTTAGGGCCTTTATTTGTATTAGACCATTTTCTTTTTCACAGCCCCCAACTGCTGCACAGTTCATCGGTGTGTGAACCCTGGTGCCCTGGCTCCAGCCCTATACTCTTTTTTTCCCCTTCTCCTCCTTTTTTTAAATCGAAGTATTTCAGTCAATTTACAATGTTGTGTTAATTTCTGGTGTACAGCATAGCTATTCAGTTATGCATATATTCCTTTACATATTCTTTTTCATTATAGGTTATTACAAGATACTGCACATAGTTCCCTGTGCTATACAGTAGATCCTTGTTGGTTATCCATTTTATATATAGTAGTGTGTATCTGCTAATCCCAAACTCCTAATTTAACCCTTCTCCCCATACCTTTCCCCTTTGGTAACCTGTGAGTCTATTTCAGTTTTGTAAATAAGTTCTTTAGTATCTTTTTTTTTTTAGATTCCACATATGAGTGATATCATATGGTATTTTTCTTACTCTTTCTGGCTCACTTCACTTAGTATGATAATCTCTTGGTCCATCCATGTTGTTGTAAATGGCATTATTTCATTTTTTATGGCTGAGTAGTATTCCATTATATAGCTATACCACAGCTTCTTTATCCAGTCATCTGTCAATGAACATTTAGTTTGTTTCCATGTCTTGGCTATTGTAAATAGTGCTTCTGTGAATATTGGGGTGAAGGTATCTTTTCAAATTAAAGTTTCTTCTGGATATATACCCAAGAGTGGGATTGCTGAATCATATGGTTAGTCTATTTTTAATTTTAAAGGAATTTCCATACTGTTTTCCACAATGGCTGTACCAAACTACATTCCCACCAACAGTGTAGGAGCGGACCCTATACTCTTAAGACCTGGCTGTCTTCACTGCCTTCTCTCGATATCAGCTCCTAGAGAGCAGGAGTGACGTCATTCATCTCTGCTCATCACGCTCTGTGTCTTGTCTGGCATACAGTAGACGCCCACTGAATGCGTGCACTGCATACATCCTCATTCCTCCTCTGAGCCCTGGTGTGTGCTGTTCTCTGCCAGTATCAAGGCAGGAAGTAGAGGGAGGGGTCCATTCCCTGACAGGAACTCATACAACCTGGGTTCAGATCTCAGACACCCACTATCTTGCCTTGGTTGGGTGGCTTCTCTTAAGCCACAGTTTTAGTCTACACAGTGCAGATAATAGTAATGCCACCTCACAGAGTGTATAGAAAGAATCAGTGGAGTCATGTGTGTTAGATGCTGCGCTGGCATGTGGACAAGGGTCAGTAAACATTAGCTCTTAGAAGTAGTTGTATTATAATGCCCTTGCCTGCCCCTTTCAGCTCATTTTTGTCTGTTCTTTTAAGCCTTTTTCAACTCACGTCTTCTATCTGGCACTGGTGTGACTTCAAGGACCAGACACTTGCTTCTGTTTGATCATTTATGAGCTGTGTGGCTTTGAGCAAGTTACTAAGTTTTACAAGTCTCAGTTGTATCATGGTGACAAGGTTTTGTGTGTGTGTGTGTGTATTAAAGGAGTATGTGACACATGGTAAGCACTCAGTAGGTTTTAGTTTTCTTGTTTGTTTCCTCCTCCACTGACCAGCAGACCCTCCATAAAGGCTCACTGATGGACTCAACTGTTAATTTAGTGTTTGGAAGTTACCTGGAAGAGATGGAGGCTTCTATTGTAGGGAAAGGACTGGTTTCTGGTCAAGTAGCAGGAAACTCTAGGAAGTTGAAAAACTCTTGCCCTGTGCCCTTTTGTCTTTTGGAAATGTGCTCTTGGTGGTGGTTGTAAATATGGCCAAGCCGGATACTGTATGGCAGAATTTTGAACTCATTTATTCAACAAATAGTTCTTGAATAGCTACACTGGGCCAAGAACTGCCCCAGCTGTTGAGGGTATGTTGATGGGCAAAACCAACTTGGTTCTTGTCTTCACGGAGCCTGTCCTGTTGGGGAGAGACACACCAGTCATTCAAAGATTGAATTATAAAGCCAGGTGTGTTATGAAGGGAAAGCAAAGGTGCTGTGAGGTACAGGCTAGGGGGCTTTCGTATTGAGAGCCAGGGAGATATTTCCACTGGATGGGATGTTTGAGCTGAGATCTGAGCTGAATAGGTGTGCCCAAGGAAAGCGGCAGGGGAAGACCTTCAATTTTTTTTTTAAACTCAAGTACAGTCAGTTACAATGTGTCAACGTCTGGTGTACAGCACAATGTCCCAGTCGTGCATATACATACGTATTTTCGTTCTCATATTCTTTTCCGTAAGACTTTTAAATTTAATACTCACCCTTCTTCTCTCGATGGAAGATGCTGTTTAGTACTCTATTAAGCCTGGATGATGACAGATGATAATTAGTTTTCAAACCTGGAGGTGCCTAAATATGCTGTCCCTGGCTGTTTTTATCTGACTTGTGCATAAATAGTGCATGTGTCAGGCTGGGAGAGGGAGGCTGAATGCACTTGATCCCAGCCAGGCATTGTGTTTCTATTATACTTGGGGCCAACGCTGTCAGTCAAGTTCATCCAGGCACTTTGTCACATTACGGGTCGTGTTGTCTGGGCTTGTCTGCCCAAGGGCAGGTGCTCTTTATTTTAATTTGTATTACGTATATTTGCTCTGAAAGTTGTTTCTGTTGAAACTTGGAGAGCCAGGTGCTGGCAGCTAGAGTAAGGGCCGACTTACTGGAAATTTGAATGAATTTTGTTAACACCAAGAAGGGACACCCCTCAGCCCAGTGTAATGGGCTGTGAAAATATGACAGCTGTTAGGGACTAGTCTGTTACACCTCTGGGTATAACCATCATGATGGAACCCGGTTTCCGACCTTCTCTTTCAGGAAAGGCATTTTCTGAAACATTCCAGCAGAGTCTTCCAAACTGAGGAGCCCATGATAATACTAGAGATACATTTAGACTGTCTGACTAGGTCAAGGGAAGACTGTGTTTGCAGCTAGCCTTTCTTCAACACCTGTCTCTTCCAGTTTCCCTTTTAACAAGAAGAAGCAGACCTGGCCCTAGGAGATTCACATCCAGCTAACTGCTTCATTTTCATGATATTTATGTTTATGATACGTTCACAAGTGATACTAATTTATAGCTGTGATTTACAGACTTTTTCAAAAATAATGTCAAAAATGAATTGATTTTTTTAAAAATTAAGTATCTCATAGTAGAAATGGCATTCAGATTTGATAGAATCTTTGGGGTGGTTCTTGAATGAATGAAGTTTGGGAACCCTGCCCTGATGCAATCTGGATTTTTTTCCCTGCCATCTGGCATTTGTAGTCTATTTCTAAGGACCTATTAAAAACTTGTATGTTAATATCTGATAACACAATAAAATATTTCATCACACCCACTAGTATGGCTCTAGTAAAAAATATGGGTAATAATAAGTGTTGGTGAAGATACGGAGAACCTGGAGCCCTCATAAATTGCCAGTAAGAATGAAAAATAATGCAGTTCCTTCGGGAAACAGTTTGGCAGTTCCTCAAAAAGTTAAAATGTAGAATTACTATGATTCAGTAGTTCCACTCCTCAGTGTACACTCAAGAGATCTGAAAACATATGTTCACGTGAACACCTGTACACAAAGGTTCATGACATCATTATTCATAATGACCAAAAAGTTGAGAACAGCTCATATGTCCATCAACAGATGAATAGAATAAAATACATAATATATTCATACACTGGCATATTATTCAGCCAAAAAAGGAATGATGTATTGATTCTTGCTGCAACATGGATAACCCTTGAAAACATTATGCTAAGCAAAATAAA